ATAACTTTTATTACAGTGTATTGTTATCATTGCTGTATTGTATTATTAGTTATTGTTATTTCTTATTGCATCTCATTTATAAATTAAAGTTTACCATAGTTGTGTATATATTAGAAAGAACATATTATATATAAGTATTCAGTACTATTGGTGCTTTCAGGCATCCACTGGGTGTCTTGGAATGCGTCCCCCATGAATAACGAGGGGGGCGGGGAACCCTGTAACTCCTAATTTCTTTAGGTTGCATTTGCCTAATACACCTTTGTCTACCCTTCCATTTTCAAGTTTTTGAATAACTTTGTTTCGGCTGCATCCTTGTATACAGCTTACAATTTGGTTCTGCACTGTGTAATAATGGCCTCAAGAAGGGCTCATAATAACATTCCCTGAGTTCCTCTGTGTTCAGAGTATTTGCCTCTAGCTTTTATACCTTGAAAAGCAGTCTGGCTGGTCATAAAACCCTTGGTACCCACTTTCTTTCCTATAATGATGGTGAATTCATGATTTCCCAAGGCATCCTAATTCATTGTCGGATAGCTCACTTTTACCCAGTGGCTTTTCTTTTTTAACTTTTGCCAAAATTGGTCTCCTTGAAAACTTCTAATAGATCGCCCTATAGTCTCTTCTACATAAAGCCTCTAAATATTTCTCTTCTCCAGGATAAAAGAAACAAGTCATTGAAGGAAAGTCCTTAAGGCCAAAACAGCTACAGAGTACCTTCTAGTAGACTTAATGATTTGTTTGTTCAGTTAGCTCAAGTCACTGCATCTTCTTTGCCTTCCTCATAGGGCTCGTTTAAAGCAAGTTGGAGTTAGCATATCAGAGCTGGAAGGGCGCACTGGGATCATTTGATGCAAAGGCCTCATTTTAGGGTGAAGAAACTGAGGCCCAGGGGGAGGTAAAGAGATGGCCCCAAGGTTACGCCACTACCAGGAAGCTGAATCTGACCTTGAACCCCAGTGATACCCAGGCAAGGATTCTTTGTGCTGTACTGAATCCTTCAAAACTATAATGATCATTATGGGGTGTGTGTGTGTGTGTGTGTGTGTGTGTGTGTGTGTGTGGTAAGAACATTTAAGATCTACTCTCTTAATTATGCGAGGTGATGAATGTGTTAATTAACCTTATTGTGATAATAATTTTGTAATATATATGTGTATCAAGTCATCACGCTGTATAACTTAAATATACACAAAGTTATATGTCCATTATATCTCACTAAAGGTAGAAAAAAATACAATGATCAAAATGTTTTATTAGCTCTGAAAGAACTCAGTGTAAAAGCCCTGTCACATAAGAGAATTTACCTAAGTTCTGCTTGATAATTATCATTTCATTTTTTATTCCAACTATATACAGGACGACACAAGCAGGATAGCAGTATCAGAGAACATTCAGGGAGTTTGTTGTTCATTTACATAAATTGTCACTTTCATTTTCTGTTTCTTGAAACTGCGGAACTTCAGATAAATGCAGATTTAGTCTTCCTACCCCAAAATCCCCAAACCATCATTTTGAAATCAAATTACACAGCTTATGCTTAAAACATAAGGGCCAGATTCTATCTTCATATATACCACCCACTCTCTAACAGCAGAAATTGGCCCTAAAAACCCATTAACAAATATTGTCATTAAACTAAAGAGCTAATTACTTTGGATTCAGACAGAATGAACAAAATCATAGGCCAACCGCAGCTGGTAGTAATAATGGTGAGACTAACCGTATGTTACACTGGAGATTTAAATAACAAAGACATATTAACACTAATGTAACCAAACATACAAAATTACCCTCCAAATGGAGCAAACTATTATAGTTAGAAAAGTCTTGAAAGCACATTGGAATTATCTGATACAAGAAATGAAGAATATTTCTAAGGAATTAATCATCATAATTTGAAATTATCAGTGTTTAATGAAGAGGGAGGATTGAGAAATTTATTCTACCGCAATATTCCACAAATGAAGAATTACATGAAAATCATTTTGATCTAATAGGAAGTACTACCCTCATATTCAAATCAGTTTAATACTATAAGATGAAAGAGGCTTGCTTTAAGGCTATTTTAAATAACCATTAGCGGAACTACCTTATAGTTCTACAAAAGTGAATTTACCAGATAACTGAATATTATCCAAGCCCTTAACACTATATTAAAATTACATTAATAACACATACTTTAAAGAAAGTTTTATAAACCCTGAGAAGTAATAAAAATCAACCATAATTTTATCAATTCAGCATAATCATTAATAATATTTTGGTGTATATTACTTCAATTTTTCTTCCTGTGCATCTGCAGCTTTTTTAATAAAAATGAGACTACATCATAATATAGTTTTGTAACTTGTTTTCATTTATAACATATTATGAACATTTCCCCACATCAATAATTATACTTCTACTACACAAATCTTAATGATTTCCCAACTCCTTAAATTGAGAATTATAAGCCCATTTTAATCTTTTAGGATATCTCACAAATATAATTATTATGCTGTTTCATAATAACACTAATACTCCCCAGAGATTCTTACTTATTTAAATCTCCTTTCTTCTATACTGAATGGTCCCAGATGGCTCTAGTGTTTAAAAGCATATCCAGATAAGACTGACCCAACCTGAAATAAACCTGAATTTCCTTTTTTAATTTTTTTTTTAAAGCAACATGGGCCAGTGAAGCGATGTCCTCCACAACTAGACTGAAGAACAAAAGGACAGCAACTTGTCTGTCCCTGTTTTAATTTCTAATGACATGAAAGATGATCTACTGATGACTCAAATAATTAATGATTTTAAATTAAATTACATGTATAAGTACTCAAGTATTTTCTTCATTTCTCCAACCTTCATCTTGGAGGAAAATTTCTTCTTACCTTCCTTACATAAGAAATCATTACTGAAAAACACTTGCTTAGTTTTTCCTTGTTAATAAGTTATACCTGACCAGCTTGATGTTTACTGCTCTTTGTATTAAGCTTTTCTATGGCAAGTTGGGAAGAGAAAAGAATGCTGTTATACATGAGGGCCAGACTAGAAGATCTCAAAGGTCCATGTCTGCTCTAAAACCTTATGCTTTTGTGCTTCTAGGAAGTTTCTGTAATTTATTCTTTTGTTGTATATTTTACTTCCTGAGTATGAAGGCTGCCTCACTCAGATTCCCTGAAACTACATTCTAAGTTTTCTTTAGGGAGCCACAATTTAAGATAAATATGCCAATGAGAATGAACGTGACTCACTCGAGGAATCAATTCTGTTCTCTCTCCACCTGCTCCTCAGCAAAAAGGAAAAGAAAAAAAAAAAAAAAGAAAGAGCAGAAGAGTAGTTTCCATGTTATGTTTCTCTGAAATTGAAATATTACAGATTTGCACTAAAAGCTTTATTAAATCTAATTTGGAGACTTTATTGAAACATAAACTTATGTACTATGTATTTGAGGATTTTACAATCTTGTGTACTAAAAATTTTGGGACTTTTATCATCAGGTATGGCAATCTTACTATTTAGAACAATTCTGGCAACAAATGCATGTGAAAATTCATTATTATAGTTAATCCAATTATGTAAATCTTTAATTTTGATTACCTGAAAAAGTGCTGCCTTATTTTATGCGTATGAGATATTCATTTCTTTATGTAATGCTAATAGCTTATAGGCACTATAAGGACATACTTCTTTTTGATTAAGGGTTTATTTTTACCTTTTGATACTTTATGAATAAGAAATTCTACACAATATAAATAAGTGCACATGAAGACTGATAGAGAGAAGAAAATGTCTATAAGCCTGAGAGTCAATTAAAGGATTTTGATTAAAAACTTCACTCTTTACTATAAAAATAATGCCATATTGTACTTCTATGGAATCATCACAATTTAAGATCTGAATAGGTCCCTACTAATCACTTCTTTCACTGGAATTAAAAAAGCAAACCATTTATAAACTTAAAATTTGTAAATTATAAAAATGAAGTTACTAAATTGAGACACAGGAAACAGAAATATAAAGAAGTTATATTCAATAAATGTACATGTAACCTGTTATAAATGTATCACATGACTAATAAGTTTTTATCTGCAAAGGAAAAAAAAGAGTAGCTAATGATCTGTCAAGCATATCCGTTCTTTTGAAATTTAAGGCTGAGTTTTCAAAATGAAGAGAAGAAGAAAACACCCGGAAAAATGTAGAAATGCTTAGCCAATCCTGGTAATGATTTGTCATTTGCATCTTCTAGATAGTTCTTGGAATTAGGTCAATAACCATAAACATCTGTATAAATTTGCATTACACAGAACTGAGAAACAGCTAAAGAGAGCAGTGACAGGACTGTCACTCTGAAAGAGAAACAGGGACACCTGGGAATGAGCTCATTGTATTAAACTTCAAAAAGGAACATTAAAGGGATTAATAATTCAATTTGGGGGGTTCAAAAAGGGAGCACTAATTTAGTATCTCTGCTAAAATCACCCTTTCCTTATTTATTCTTGTGACTGAAGGAAACATTAAACTCCCATTTAATATGAAATTTGAAAATTAGAGGCAGGTTATTTTGAATGCCAATTTCTGTGTTTCTCAAAGGCCTGAGATCCACCTTCATCGGGATCATTTGGGGGGTAGGTACCTATAACAATGCAGACTGCTGGGCAACATTCGAGAACTAATGAGTCTCTCTGTTAAGTATGCCCAGGATCAACTATTAGGACCTCCCTCTACCCCCGCGTGACTCTTACACTCATTAAAAGTTGAAAACCATTGTATGGCATACCTTTTTGGTAAAATGGATTATCAGATATCAAGATTACCACTATGCATACTTGCATTTACATGACATATAACAACTTTTCAAATGTGTACTTCATTCCCCTTTTTTTGTTGTTGTGGAACTGCATATAGCTGGCTATTTCCCTTCTATTCAACCACTGTTTTTACTTTTGTCTATTTTATTAAAAGATATTAAACATTCACAAGAATGTGAGTTTCTTCCAAAACTCACTTACCTTCACATCCTTATGCTTATTCAGAAAGCTCTGAACATATACGATGGAAATTTTCAAGAACAATATATGCAGTGGATTCTCTGTTTAACTTCCAAGTGTTTCCAGGCTGCCAGGAGGCTCCTTAGGTAGACAGCAGAAACGTCATTCAGAAGGGAAGACAGCGATGGGGCCTCTGGGTATCCGATTATCTCTGAACAGAACAGAAAAACAAGTAGTCGGTCACCTGAAATTCATCGAGTCTGCCATGGAGAAGGTTATTTTCAGTAAACTAGCAGTGTTACTAAATTTAAACTTGGCCTGGGTTTGCCGCTCCCTGATTTAGCACAGTTGTCATTTAAAATTTCATGTCATTGTGAAGTCAGGATTGCGTGATGCTGCTGCCTGGAGAGGATTCTGGTTCAATTCATATTGTTTTAATTGATTATTTTTTCCAAACACTGCATCAAGCAGTATAATCACTAATTTGATTTTGATATGCAGGTGCTACATTTTGGTGATGAATTTCTTTCTAAGTCAAGGTTGATGAGGTCTCTTGGAAATATATCCTTACATGAGACTCTGTCACACCCTATGAAAGATAAAATGTGATCTTTTACTAAACCCCCATGGAATCATCTGCTATTTTTGCTCTACTTTCTTTCGCATGGGTGATGCTTGCCAAAATAATTAGACATAAATAAAAATAATATCCTTTCTAGTCAATATGTGTTACCTACTCAGGGAAACTAAAATTCTAGCATCTTTGGTGAATGAGCTAAGCAGACATTGGTAGTGGCTAATGGAAAAAGAGAATAAAAACATCTGTTTTTAAAATTGGTAATGAATCATGCAAACATTCTCCTAAAGAACAGAGGAAGCAACATATACAGATAAATACAAAGTCAAATACTAAATGACAAGCGTGTAATATACATGCAGGCACAGAGTACACTGTAAAACAGTAAGTTTTTATGGAAGCCCCACTGTTCGGCCACATAAAACCATTCCCAGCTTTCTTCCTTGCTATGTCTCACAAATAGAGAATGGTAAATCAAATGTTCACTCTCCCAGTGTTCCTTACTGCTAAGAGTAGTCATGTGACCCCATTCTGGCCTACAAACTCTAAGAAGTATGCTGGGTGAGAAAGCCAGGCAGACATTTTCTGTATGGATAAATAAGAAATTTCTGTTTGTCTTCTCTCTTTCACACAATTGCTTGTCTTTGATGAGGATGTGCTACCTGGAGGTAGAGCAGTCATTTTGTGTCTATGATGTAAAACGTAATAAGAGTCCAGGGAAACACAACGGGATAGGTCCTGTTATGGATGAACAGCTGAATCAACACTGCTAACTGCTTCCTCTGGAACTGTACTTCTTTAAGCCATTAGGTTTTCCCTTGCTTGCTAACAGAATCATTTCAGGTTGACAAAGTGCTCAAAAACCATTTGTTAAAAAGTAAGTGTCAATGCAATGATTGTAGTGGAGCCTACCATTTTACACTGCAGTGTAATCTGTAAGCTCTTATTTTGTGGAGTCAAGGGCAACCTTCTTTCTGATAGAGCTTGGAACTTGACTTCTTGTTGATTCTGAGGGAAGCTGTACTTGTGAGTAATAATGGGTCACAAGATGGTGGTAACTACTTAGAGCAAAACAAAATGGAAAGCCTAGCTCAGGGCTAGGTTTGGAAGAGAGTCCAGAATTATGGTAAAAGAAAGGATCTCATTGTTCCCTCAGTGCCAAAGCTATCATATTAGTTGAAATCTCAGTGGAAGAGTTTAAAGTTCCACCCCGAAGTTCATTCTTATTATCTTGCTATGTCCTCTGAATTCTTTGTTTGGGAAATACTGTTCATATCCATCACTTCATTACTGTCTTCCTTTCAACACCATTTCTTACTCAATCACAGTCTGGGCTGTCACTGTCTCTTTCTTAGACTGTTACTATAGATTCTTCAACAGATTATTATTATTTTTTTCTTAAACATTGCAGTACGTACTGTAATTACCTTAAGACTTAACCTTCTAAAACATTTCTTTGGATCCCTCTTCTGTTCCAAACATAAGAACTCCTTCTGGCCTATTGGATTAATCCAAGGCTCTTAATTTGGCATTTAAGACTCCTGTAATATAGATTCTTCTAGATTTCCTATCTCTCTTCCCTAACATTCTAGGTGGTTTGGGGGAGGATCTGTCTCCACTCCAGAGGTGCACCCTAGGTAGCTTAAAATAATCTCTGTATTTCAATCTCTACCTACAATGTTAGTGATGAGTGCATGGCCTTCATAGGTTAATGATCTGCATTCTGGAGTTTTCATTGCCCTATAGTGTTAAAAACAAAAACAAAACAAAAACTTTGCTTTTCTTGCTGGACGTGAGCCTGTTAACATGTAGTGGCGAGAATTACGGGCAACCTGCCAAAACTGAAGTCATCGCCAAGAACATAGCTGAGAAATAGAAAAAGAGAGAAACTGGGTTCTGAGCATGTTATTTCACCCATGGACAGATCTTACTTACAGGTTGAATACCCTGAACTTTTCAGTTATGTGTGAATTTATAGATTTATTTTCTTTTCTTTTTCTTTTTTTTTTTTTTTTTGATTAAGCCAGTTCAGGTTGGTATCTCTGTTACTTGCAAGCAAAAAGACCTTTGCAGTGTATTTATTTATATTTTTACTGTGTGCCTGCCATTTCATTCACTTCTACTTCTCACTCTTCTTATCAATAGTCTACCTTTGTAAGAATAATCCAGCCCTCCTCCTCCACGAAACATTTCCAGATTTTTCTAATTCATAGTGAGAGAACGCTAAACAAAACCTTGTTTTCCATTGTATATATTAATAAGAGAGCTCACCAAGGATATGATACTATCATTTGAAAATGACTCTCAAATCTTATCTTTCATTTAACATTTTCTTCTCTTGTCTCCAGACTTTCATTTCTAACTAAATAGTTGATATCTCAACTTGGATGTCTTGAAGGCGCCTCAAACTGAATTTGCCCATAACTGGACTCATAAAAACCTTCCTCTCAAGCACAGCTTTCCCCTAGTGTTCCCTAATTTTGTAAACAGCATCATCAGCCATCAGCTGGATAAGCCAAAACCCAAGGTCTTCAAGCTTTTAAAAAGGAATCAGAGTAGATTTGAGCCTTCATTTTTTCCCTCAGTGCTGGTAACTGATCACCAAGTCCTTTTGATTTTGTTTCCTACATAGTTTTCAAATCTGTCTGCTTTTCTTTTTATATCCACCTCCTCCCTCATCTCTTCCACCATCACTACCACCCCCACCACTATTACCACCACCACTAAGACCTTGTCTGTTGCATGGACTATTGATTTTTTTTCTGTCTCTCATATCATATTTTGTTTCCCTCTGATATATTCTTCTTATGGCATTTAGAATGAACTTTTAAAAATGCACAACTGATCACATCAACCCCTTGTTTAAAAACCTTCAATGTCTTCTCATTGTTCTTAGGAAACAGATCAAGTACTTACATCATCCAATCCCTATGTAACTCTCCAGCCTCATCTCCTTAGCAGAAAGTGACCATTTTTTGTTTTTAAATACCTTCATTTAAAAAATACCCAGCATTCAGCAGAGTGCTAAGCACATAGTAGGCACTCAATAAATATTTGTTGAACAGGGCTGGCTGAGTGGCGCGTTGGTTAAGAGCTGGCTTGGGATGCCAGAGGGTTCGGATCCCACATATGAGGGCCAGTGACACTGCCCTCTACAGCTAAGATGCCGAACAACAGCTCAACCTGGAGCTGGGCTGCCGTGAGTGGTCGGCGACAGCGTGGGCTGCAGCCCCTGCTCCAGTGGGTTGCAATGGGCTACCATGTGTAGCCAGCAGCCAGCGTGAGCGGCCAGGAGCCATCGTGAGCGGCTGTCCAGAGGCCGGCGACTGATCTGCCTCACCTGGGAAGAGCGCAATGATGGTGCCAACTTGGGCCAGTGAAGCAACGTCCTCCACAACTAGACTGAAGAACAAAAAGGACAGCAACTTGTCTGTTCCCCTTCCCCAATTCCCCAGCACTGTTCCCATCCTGCGACCCCCCAATAAAAATCTAAAAAAAAAATTTGTTGAACAAATTATTTGTTGAACAAGTTATTCCCTTGCAATAACTCTTGAACCACAAACAATCTTTTATTTCTACTTTTTCCTGTGTATTTTTCTGAATTACTTATAAGTATATTGGAAGTAAAGAAATGTCATATTTCTTTGTACCCTGTAGCAGAATGTACAGGGTACAAAGTACTAGGGGTTCAGAAGGTATTCAATTGTATTGATAATGATATTCCTACTTTGATTCCTTTTTAAAAGGTTGACATTCATTCTCTCTCACAATGGATAGGTTATCGCCTACCTATAAGATTAAGTGAACAAGTGGAAATATATTATTATTCTGTCAAAAAATATACAAGTTAAAAATAGGGAACTTGTATCTGATCATAATTCCACAGAATTTGTGAAGATTATTTATAAAGGAGCTGTTCTTCTGCATGACATGGAGAACATTCAGATAAGCCTTGAGTTATGTGGACAAACATAACGTTTGCTATTTTCACTGTCATATTTTCAAATATTTTATATTCCTCTTTAGAAATCTTTTACCTTTGAAAAATACAAGCAAAAATTCAATACTTTAAATCATTAACAGCTAAAGCTTTTTTTCAACAGAGATTGATTATTTTGAAAAATAGTTACCCCAAGCACAAACTAATTCCGTTATTGGATATTTACCTGAAAAGGGCAAATGGAACTTTAGAGATTCAAAAGTTAGGTATGAAATTTTAGCCTATGCTGTATACTGATATTACCCAAAATAAGAGAACTATTTCTTAGAGTAGCCTAAAAAATAGGAATATGCACTGGGAACCTAAAAGCAATGAAACAGTAGGGTTGTGAATGTATTTTGATAAACAGGAGGACACAGGGTTACATATTTCATAGACCTCTGACTGTATTAGCTGTGTTTTCCAAGTTGCAGAATGATAGAATTAGGACTAGGGAATCCAGAAGGAAGAAAGGCCAAGAAATGCATGATGAGACAAAGCAGATTTTGTGCCTGAATAAAATTCTTGAGCAGGTTAAATCTTCTGTTCATAAAAAACCAGTTGAAGCTTGCCTTAGGCGTATTTATACAAGAGGTAAATGAATTGGGGTTTCTATAGACCTGTTGTTCATTATAAATATCTTCTAGTTTTCTCA